TCCTCCCCATTCAACCTGGGCAGGGAGTGAGCAAGCAACTGTGATACTTCATTGTCAGCTGGGATTAAACCACAAGGCCCTACAGGAGACCTTGGCTTTTCAGTCTCTTCTGATCAAGTTAATAAATACATGAAATAAGACTTAATTGAATGTTAATGTTTACTCAGTAAAGGCGTGATTTTCTACAATGTTAAACTAGGACTTAATGTCTTTTCAGATCTAGTTGTTTAAAAAGCCTTCATCAGCACATGCACAATGCTTTTGTTACTTGCTAAAACTTATTTGGGAACAGGTTGCACAGTAGTTGTTTCATCTGTGACAAGCGAGGCAAATTCCTTTTTTCAGGTTTGTTCTTTCTCAAGGCTATTTGTTTAGGTTCAATAGTTCCCTCCTTTAGGAAGACCTGCCAGCAACTGGGTTGTTTTTTTGGTTGTCTTTTTACCCCCCCATCCTCTTCAGCTTTCATTCTTCACATAGGATTGGTCAATTTGCTCAGTTCCACCTAAGGCAACCTCTCTACAATCAGACTGGGCAGCTTGCTCAATTTCAAGTTAAGCAACATATGCACAGAAAACAAGTACCAGTATTCTAAAGAGTTCAGACTTCCGCATTTCTGATTTAGTGTTTTAGATAACATATGCAATAACAATATCTGATGATAAAAAAGAACAGGTTGGAAGTTAGATGTCCAGTAAGAAGCCCCACGCTCACACCTGTACACAAAGAAAGTGATGAGAATTCTACTCAGCATCATTTCCAAACTAATGTCAGCAACTCCATTTTTGGAACACCTCTGTAACAGCTAGTATATGAGAAATAGTAATAGCTGTTGACAGGAGAAGTGATAGTTCTGTTAACATCATACTAGACAAAAAGCACATCATAGCTATATAAGAAAGGAAAATGATTCAGGTCCACCACTGTATCCTTTCATAATTTCCTTTGGGCTCTCACCCCTCATGAAAGCTGCATCACTAAAAATTTTTCAGCACATTCTCATGCAAAAATAAAGATTTTGACATTTTCTCCTCTTAAAGCTAGCTGAAACACCATTTTATCTATATTGCTACCCCACTAAGGTCCTTCTAAAAATTTAAGTTAAGACTCCTAAATTAGCAACTGTACCCTCTATTTTACTTCTGCTAAATAATTGTGAAGTTTTTAGTAATTAGTGACTGAAACTCTTGTCTAAAACAGCAGCATAAACTCAAATATATTTATATACTTAGAAAATATATTAACATCCATCAGAAAAATCCATCACCTGTTACCACACAAATATTTTTTCCCCTAAACTCAGATATGAGCATTAGTTTATTATTAATCCTTAAGTAGACGGCTTCAAAGCATGGAAACAAAGGGCGTGGACAAAATAGTTTGAATACTGTTACATTCCAGTGGCTTTCCAAAAGCTTTCAACAGAATGTAGAAAAGTGGATGTCTTACCTGTTTCTTATAGCTGTTACTGAAATACAAGAGCAATTAGGGTGACCTCAAGGTTTTTTCAAACCCAAATTTCAAAATGTTTATATGCAAAGCAAACAGCTTCCATACAACTTCGTAAAACATTTAGGACTGTTAACTTCAGGCTTAGCACCTCTGTTTTCAACCACAACATAAAAAAAATTAATATGGAACTTTAATCCAAATGAATTTCATTCAACAGATTAAGTGTCATTGTATGGCTTCTGAAAGACTATGCTTCAAGTCCCCTAAAAGACACCTTTTAAATCTGTTCTGATAAAGAACATTACATACAGTTTCTCACACATGTTAGTATCATAGCCATCATAGTTTTGTGCTACATAAAATTTAACAAGAGAAAAGCTGTATAATTCCATAGTTGAACTCAATCTAATTGGTTAATATTCTATTCAGTGCTTCATACCTATCCCAGATGAACTGAAGAAGGCACATTTCACCATAAGGAGGCCAAAAAAAGAATCCTTAGGAGGACTTACCAGACCACCAGTTCAACATGGATATGTAATACCGCCAGATTGTTTCATGTCTACAAAGTCCCTTTCTCAAGCTCCTTAGTGGGTAAACTACCAGCAGCATCAAGTTTCTAACAAACCACAGGACAGTCTGCTAAGGCAGTGTTACTGAATATTCTCTCTGTGAACTTTGATCCACATATCAATGCCTGTCATTTTTCCCACCTTGTATAACTATTTTCACCTCTATGAAGTGTGTAACAATGCTAAAAGCTTCTTGGAATTTTCCATCTACCTAGAGAAGTATAAAAGGCATAGAAAAATCACATTCCTGGACTGCAGTTACAGGCGGGGGAAAGGAAAAAAAAAGATAAGTCAGCGAGACATGCTGTGATGACTTGCAAGCAAGCATGACTCAGAGATTAGCAATCATTGATTACCAGTGGTATAAATTATAAAATTGAACAGATAAAAATACATGGAAATGAACCAAACTCACACCACAAAGCTGAACTCCCGATCGTAACTTTGAGCTCCCACGTTGATGGTACAAGAAAAGCATTTAGAGGCTGACTAGAGTAAGGGTTTTATTGCTTAGAATATCTACATAGCCATCTTAATGGTATTTATTTAAATGTCATGTACATAAAATTTTAGGAATAAAACACCACAGACAATAAATCAAATAGCAGCATGAGGAAAAATATAAGACCTTTGGGAAAAACACTGCAGATTCGGGGTTTGGTTTTTGAAGCGTCTTTATGAGGAGGCTATCTTTATATTGTTTGTGATTAAAAACAAAAAAAACCCAGTAAATTATTGACAGATAAGTAGACTTTAACATTCCTACTTGTTTATCACAGCCTTCCTGTAGAAGATTCCTTTGACAGATGGAAAAAGGATCATGGAAACTATGTTAAAGTCACTCAGCCTTCCACTACACTAGTGCCAGTGCTCTCAATTTTCTTCTACTTCTTTTCTGTAGTCACTCATTTTCCTGACACAAAAAACTAATATCTAAGAAGAATATATGATACCATTTATATTAAAAAGAAAACTGAGGAAAGTATTTCCAAGTAGCTAGAACAGATCAGTAAGCATATGCAGAA